TGAAGAATGCCAAAACACACTCCTTAGAACAACACTCTGTCTATCGCATACTAAAAGGTTCTTTCTTCTTTTTGGGTGAGAATGACATGTTCTTGTTTGTAAAAGACAATAATAACCTATTTAAGTATACTAGTATAAGATCTATTTTGTAATGTAATTACATTGCAAATGAATCTTATCTTTAAAATCGGATGGAGTATTTTTTATTTTTGCATCGTTGATTAGTCTCTCTCTTACTCAGATCACCCTTTTTCCTATTTACTCGTTCTCTTTCACTATCCCCATAGTAAGTGTTCTTTTTGGAAAATAATAATTTGCATCCATTCCTCATATTTATTACTTTTAACCAATCATAACTAACCTTTCTATATGTATAATCGAATTATTTGTATCTTATAAAAGAACTAGATGTAATATGTTATATAATTCATACACTATTTATTATTTTCTTCAAAAGGAAACGAGAGAATTCACATGATTAGCCTTTGGTTATTGCCTTAATCTTTCCCTTTTTCAAAAGGCGGCGGCAAAACATACTGAGAAAAGTGACGAAGGTTGCTGTGGGATAGACCGGTTTATTAATTATGCTTTTATTTCTTGATACAAAATTAGGACTATTTATGTGGAACACAAAATATGCCCTATTCTCATTATTTGGATTAATTTATAAAAGAAAAAAAACCCCAAAAAATGTTGGGCGATGCAAATTAAAAGTGGGGGATAGAAGAAATTTATGCATCCCTAAGCCTAGATATACACAGGATTTAGATTCCGCATGGTTAGTTCATGCAGCTTGTTAATATTAATTTATTGAAAATTATTTTTATTATTTGTTTTAACATCAAGTTTCTAATTAAACGTACAAACTAGTTTAACTTGCTATTTTTTTCCCCCTCGATGAAATTAACTTGCTATTTGTTCAGCGTAGCTTAATAACTCAGCAAATGAGCATTATATGATAGTTTTGTCTGCATAATTTCATTTGTTTCTTTCGTTTAATGTGTATTTAAAATCTACGTATGGAAAAAGTTATTTATATAATACTTAAAGCAAGCGAGAATATTATATCCAATAAAGATTTTGATGGCCAGTAGGTGAATTCATAAGCATATAAGTAAGGCCCTGTTTGGATGTATTACAAATTACATGTAAACACGTTTTACATAAATTCAGATAAAACTCTTCTAACATACTTACTTTATATTCCGTAAATCGTAATTAAAAAATTATTTATAAACTATTCTAAACGAGTTTTAAATTAATAAGTCTGCTGAAAAACTCCCTTTATCATCAATTGTGCTTTTTGACCCCACTCTTATGCCAGCAACTAGAATAGACGTAGAAGCTAAAAACTTTTATTAAGAGCATTAGGAAACGAGAGAGAGAGAATTGAGATGCGTCTTTTCCAGAGAAGTCAAGTGGTTTATATATACCAAGTCAGGTTCATAAATAAATTTATAAATGTATATATGTATTTTACTAATTAATAAGAACAAAATCATAAGTATTCATATACACTACCAAAAAAAAATTTCAATGACGACTTTCAACGGCAACACAAAATATCCCTGTGGAAAGTGTGACTTTCTACATAGGCTTTTTAGAGTCTCTACTGAAGGTCAATTTTTAAAAGTGAGATTTTTAGTGGCGACTCCTATTATTGTCACTGGAAAAAAGACTTTTTACGATGACTCAACATGTCAGTGCTAAAAGCGTTTTTTAGTGGTGATTTTTTGTCACTGTTAAAAGTTTATTTTAACTTTTTACTATCATTTTAAATTTAAGTATAAAAAAAATTATTTCAATAAAATTTTGTTCATTAATACGACTTATTATTATAAAAGTTATCGCTGAAAGTTTTTTTCGGTAATAATATATTTTGCACGTGAATTTATAATCGCACATACACTGTGACAACTAATAATTCCTGACAAAATCTGCAAATCTTAATTTATATTAAAAAAAGCTAGTATAAAAATTTACAAGATCTTCGTCCCAATCCTTGTAGAAAAGCGCGCCCAACCATTTAAGATATTTATTACATTTTTCATACTGCCCCTGCTAAACAAGGATCTTTGCTTTTTTTAAATAAAAATTATTAAATTTAATAAGATTAAAATTAAAAATTTTCTAGTTTTTAATCTAAAGCTGACTGCCTCCTTCTCCCAAACAGGGAACACATAAAGCCTATAGCACCATACACAAAATCTTACTCCCAGACCAAATAGTCTCAGTGGTAGATGTACTAGTTATTTATATTCACTCCTAAATGTAAGATTTAAATAACTAATTTATATAAATTAATAAAATTTGCATGAAAAATTGTTTCCTTTAAGATGGAAAACGGATCTTTAATATAATATGTGGAATCCATATAGAGAGTCTAAAAAAATTATAAATTTAAAAGAAAAATGAGATTGAAGTACTTCTCCGATCTTAAATACAAGATATATTTTATAATGTAATTCGCATTACAAAATGAGTCTTATATTTAGAACCGGAGAAATATTATATTTAGGATAAAAATAAACTCATCTACCAACTGTTCTGTTATATTTATCAGGGGAGGGAGTAAAAATCAATGCTAATTGAAAATCTATCTCTCTCAGAAATTTGAAGTGACTTTGAAGCACTATGCCGGCTTATACTTTTCAAAGAGATCTCCACCTTCATTGTTCATTCTTCATCCTCTCTCTCTCTCTCTCTCTCTCTCTCTCTCTCTATACTCTGCAAGGAAAAGTAAAACACCATGCTGCTGCTAAACCTGCAACAAAATCCCTTGCTCTTCACCTTCTTGTTGAGCTTCACAATCTGGACGTGGTGGACTCTTGACGGCGTCGTTTCAGAGCCGCAGCTCAGTTATGTGAAATCAGGTTGCAGCAGCTATAATGTCAGTGACGTGGCCATCTTCAACAAGAACCTAAACGCGACGATGCGAAGCCTGAGAGCGCAGGTCAGCAACCAGAGCAAACACTCCGCGGTGGCGCAGGCCGTGAAGGGTAACAATCCGGCGTACGGCGTTTTTCAGTGCAGAAACTACCTCTCTATCAAAGACTGCCTCGCTTGCTTCGACTTCGCCGCCGTTCATATATACGAGAACTGCTCCGTCTCCGCCACTGGTGCCCGGGTCATATACGAGGTTGCTTCCTCAGGTATCTGACCAACTTGGACATTTTTTTAAACTTTTGTTTTTAATATTCCTTTGTAAAATTTAAAAGAAGAATTTCACTGAAGTTAAAGAATGAGACCCATATTTGTATAAAGTCTAGGATAGGCAAAATTGCTCTTGTTTTCCTTGTTTTAAATGAAAAATCATTTTGAAGGTAACTATAGTTTCTTTCAATTTTTCATTTGGTATTTGTGTATTTTTTTTCTTATTAGTACCGTTAATCCTTGTGTAAAGGTTAATTATGCCAACAGGGTAAACTACAGAGGTACTAAATTAGAAATTGAGGCAAACTTTAGGTATATGCAAGATGGTTTTCCCTTCTCAATAACAATAATCGGTAAAATTCATGATTTGAAGTTGAAACTAATGATTCAAAAAAGAAAAATACTATTAAAATTAAGAGTTTAAGCTAAAATGTTACTCCATCTGCTCTTTTTTGCAAGATTATAAAAATTTGAATTGACTTGGTTTTTTTCTATAAGATTCAGCGAAGGAGTGTCTTAATATTAAATATATTTTCACTATTTTACTCCTTAATTTTTTTTATTCATTTCATCATCTTTTTTCTCATGCTATATTTTCTTTAGTCTTTTATTTCATTATGGTATTTCTCTTATTTATTTGCTTCCTTATTAAATAATGACTTACTTAAAAAAAATAAGATTTAATTTTTATATATTTATTGCTCCTAATTAATTTTAACTTTTTTTTAAAAAATACTTAATTTAGTTAAAAGATTACGGGGAAAGGAGTATACGAAGTTACAACATGAAGATATGCTTTTGGCCATTAAGATATATAAGTCATTTCTGAGGATTCAGGCTATGTTTGCACAAAAGAATTGTTGAAACTTGAAAGACAAACTGGAAACGTAACTAAAATCCAATGTGTAAAATCCATTGCCAAAAAAAATAATAATAATATATGTGAGAAAAATTTTATTTCAAGTATTTATTTATTTTGAGGTTAACACAATTTTTGACATACTCGTTTTTATTTTAGTTTTAATTCTTTAAGAATTAGTCTTTATAATTTAATAAAAATTTAGATAATTTTAGATTTTAAAAGACCAAAACTTATCATTTAAAAGTTAAAAGACTAAGGGGTTGTTTGGTTTCTTGTTTTGGAAACAATTTTTAGTTTTTTAAAACAGAAAAATCAAAAAACTTGTTTGGTAAATTGTTTTTAGTCTATTGTTTTTAAAAAAACAAAAAACAGTAACAAGTTTTTAAAAACCAAAAAACCAAAACAATTTTTATATGTTTTTCTGTTTTTGTTTTGAAAAATTTTGAGAAATTTTATTTCTTCTCATCTACTATTCACTACTTATTATTATCAATCACAACTATCATCTAACAAGTATGGTTTTTTATGAGTTTTTTTTTTCAAACATAATTTTTTTTAAAATTATTATCCAAACAAATTCTTTTGTTTTTTGTTTCAAAACTTGTTCTAAAAACGATTTTATAAAATTGTTTTGAAAACAAGAAAAGAAAGAACAAAAACAAACAAGCCCTAAGATTCTAATTCCTGTTAAGAGAGGTATCACATCTAATATTAACAGTGTTTTCGAAGGTAATCTCTGAAGGATACCTATGTTTACCTTTTTTATTGATGATATTGTTTTCCAAAGACGAATGGGCCCGATTACAGGGAGTTCTCGGCACTGCCCTCAATCTGTCTTCCCAGTCACCGTCGCATGTCACCACTTCACCGCCACACTCGTCACAGTCGCTTGCCCAACGCCGTCTCGGCGACGCCGCTCTTCCTCCTGCCTTCTCGGCTATCTTGTTCTTGCTCTGAAGGAGGATGACGGAGTGATTAACCAGAGCATGCACAACGACGGCGATGAATTTTTCTTCTTCTTCGATAAATTTTGTTCGTGTTTATGCTCTGAAATTTCCCCCTTGCTCTTGCCCTGAAACTTTTGCGGAATTTTTTTTGAAATTTCCCTCAAATCATGCTGAGCGACGACGACGACGACGAAGTCTTGCTGTATTTTAATTGTTCCATGCGATCTTTGGTTCTGCATTTCTTGTTGTTCCGGTTTGTGACAGAGAAATTTGCTACCAGGAAGCGCATGACGAAGAAGCTTGTGTGTTCGGATTTTTTCTGCCGTTGCTCACCTATGGGACAAAACCTTGAGCTCCAATGATTTTGGGTTGATGAATCATGGAATTGACAACTTTGTTGTTGCTGTACTTTGTCCTCATTATGCTTAAAATCCTTAGTTGCTTTGCTTTGCTTCATACTCTATATTAATTCTAAACACATAAAATCCTTCAACTAATTGAAAAGTGTTCCACAGTAGAGACAACTGCATAGTTTGCAACACCATAAAACAATCATATCACTAACATCTCAGGTAACCGATGTCTCTTAATGTGGTCAAAACAGTGACATTTTTTACAATCATAAAGATGGCATATTTTTGTGTGTTTTTCAAGGTATGAGAGCAGTATTTTCTTCGACCAGTCCACAGACGGTGGGAACCACATTATGTGTGGGAATCTTGTGGCTAAAAGCTCCACAGAACTTGCTTCAACTGTGCAACAAGTGCTAAAGAATCTGGTGGAAGCAACACCAAGAATACCTGGTTTCTTTGCAGCCGCTGTAACGCCAGTACCTAAAAGTAATGGTTCAAATATTTATGCCTTTGCTCAATGTCTCGAGACCGTCACTCAAAGTGGCTGCCAAGATTGCTTGGAGTCTGGCTTAAGAAATTTTCAGATTTGTATTCCCAACTCAAATGCTAAGATTTTTTATGCTGGTTGCTTCATGAGATACTCCACCTCTGCATTTTTGCCACTAATCAGACCACTGATATCAAACACATCTTGAAACAAGGTAAAGTTCTTAACTTTAAACTCCCGAATGACTATGTGCATTGCATACCAAGAAACAATTGACATGAGCAAATATAGTACAATTTAACTTCAAACAATTGTGACTCGTAGGAGATTCAAGCAAGAAGGCCATTATTGGTGGGGTCGTTGGAGGTGCATCTTTTATTTTGATTCTCCTTGCATTATTTGCTTTGTATAGACGATCATTGTCCAAGAGAGTTCATAGAGGTAAGATAACTAGAAAAATCTTTATTATTCAATTTGAAATGATTCATTGTGATGCTCTAGTTTTAACTTTTTCCTGCCAAAGGGATGTGACGGTTTTAATTTGAAAGGGATGAACCCCTAACTACTTCATACTTTATTGAGAGATTTCTGACTGAGGTTTTTCTTGCAGTTGACATTTTGGGAGCAACTGAGTTGAAAGGCCCGGTTAACTACAGGTATAAAGATCTGAAGTCTGCAACAAAAAATTTCAGTGAAGAGAATAAATTAGGAGAAGGAGGTTTTGGTGATGTATACAAGGTATACCCCACCCCCCACACACACCTATATAAACAGTCATTTGTGTTATTACAGTCCATATCTTTTTGAGAGACACTTTGTATAGAGGCTTTTTTGTATAAATTCAATTTAGGTACACTTGTTAATATAATATTTGTCTGCCAGATATATAGAAAGTACAATGTATTTCTTAGATTCCATGAAATACACAGGAAAATGTGTCTAATTCTTAATAAAAGGATGGCACTTCCCTCAAGCACACTCTATAGTCTAGAAATGTGATCTCTTCATTGAACAGGGTACTCTGAAAAATGGAAAAGTAATTGCCATAAAGAAATTGGCTCTAGAGCAATCCAAAAAGATGGATGAAGATTTTGAAAGTGAAGTGAAGCTAATAAGTAATGTTCATCATCGAAATCTTGTTCGACTTCTTGGATGTTGCAGTAAAGGCCAAGAGAGATTCCTTGTCTATGAGTACATGAAGAACAACAATGTTGGCCAGTTCTTATTTGGTATATTCAATTTAGTACTTGAAGAAATTTCCTTTGTACTTGAAATTCATCTGCTTCCTCTATTTTTATGTTTTTTTTGGTCCCCTCTCTCTTACTATCTAAAGTGCTGGAAATAGGTGACAATAAAGGTTCTCTCAATTGGAAGCAACGTTATGGTATAATTTTAGGCACTGCAAGGGGTTTGGCATATCTTCATGAGGGATTTCACATTTGCATCATACATAGAGATATAAAGCCCAGCAACATCCTCTTGGATGTTGATTTCCAGCCTAAAATTGCAGATTTTGGATTGGCAAGGCTTTTGCCAAGGGACCAATCTCATCTGAACACAAAATTTGCAGGAACAATGTAAGTAGTAACATATGTAACTATTCATATTTTCTGCACTCAATATATATCATATTAACGCAAATGATTGTAACAAGTCATTTGTTGATCAAACGTGACACTACTTTAGCAACTAGATCTCTTCTCAAATGTTTAGTTGTTTCTACAAAGCATGAAGACTTGTGTATGTTTATGACTCACTAGAAACATGATACAACACTTTTAAGTTGCACACGAATATTTGAAATTTGTTTTTATCATTGTTAGTGTAAGTTTCCATGTCTTGTTGTGACTCGTCTCTTACATATGGTAATTTTTGATCCTTTTGCTTCTGTTATATAGGGGATACACTGCACCTGAGTATGTAATGCATGGACAATTATCTGAGAAGGTTGACACCTATTGCTATGGTGTTGTAGTCTTAGAAATTATAAGTGGACAGAAGAGTGGTGAATTAAAGAATGATGATCAAGGCGAATTCCTTCTTCAAAGAGTAAGTGAATTCTCAAAATCGATATACCAAAGGAAAGGTTTTTATTTGGAGAAATTACAAATGCAGATATAACTAATCAAATTATTTTCAATATAGCGTGACAAACGATTGTTTTTGACTGCTCAACACCACGCAATCTTTTTTCCTCTATCTTGTATGACTTTGATGCCCCTCGGCAGGCTTGGAAACTGTACGAGAGAGGAATGCACATGGAGTTTGTGGATGAAACCTTAGATCTAAATGAGTATGATGCAGAAGAAGTAAAGAAAATCATAGAGATTGGATTGCTTTGCACGCAAGCATCTCCTGCAGCAAGGCCAACAATGTTTGAAGTTGTTGATATGATCGAAAGCAAAGGTGGCTTAATGGATCACAAGCGACCCGCTATGCCTGTTTATGTTGATTCTAATGTGGGGAATAGAAGAGATGCTCAGTAATAGTTCATCTCTATCAAATGCTACTGTCTCCGCTTCTATTGCATCAGGAAGGCGATGTGATTTTGAACCCCCAGAAAATAACAATAATAATATTTAAGAAGGAAACAACTGGAGTAAGCATTCGCTTTCATTCATTACTGAAGATTTCAGTACAATGAAACATTGAAACATGAATTGTGCAATATAATTTGGGTAGTTTGTGATTGCCACGACTATACTGTTGTAACACTGCTATCCTTGTTCAACAAGTCTAGTTGGGTGCCTTCATCTTTTGCTGATATACATTATCACCAGAACATAGCATTGAAGCAGAGAAGGAAAATGTCATGTCTTGTCTGAAATATTGATGGAGGAATTTCATGCACGAAACTGCAAGGATGGTGATCAAACCCACCCAAAAAAGGGTTCCCCTTAAATATGGAAACGCAGAATAAATGAGGAAGATAATTTTCAGAGTTATAGAGAACATTCAAAAGAATCACCCTATTATAGGTACTTGATTACGGCAAAGTAGTTTCTGTAAAGGTCTTCAGGCAGAGATAGTATACCAACGTAATTGATCATTTGGGTTTTTCAAATAACACTAAGTTTTACCTATATTCTACTGTTGCTATAAGGGGACCATGCACTCACTCAGATCAACTAGCAGTAGCTGACTGAGAGATCGCTCCAGGTTAATTTATATTACTGCGGGAGTTTAAGAGCTACATGAACCAAATTTATGTCGCTCGCCCGAGCCATTTTTTGAACACTCATTTCCATGAGAGGATGTCTAATCTTGGGTAACAACAGCCTCCTAAAGCAGCAAAAATTTGTTTCAGAATTTAAACATAAAAATTTAATTCTTGATGTTACTTTTAAAATAAAAATTTTAATTTTACCATTATTGAGAACTAACATAATACCATATAATTTAAGCTTTAGATACAACATCTGATTCTAAATATAAGAGCTAATTTACACAACAAACTGGTTTTTATATTTAAGATAAGAGATAATAATTTAATTAATCATTTAAATTATATCTCTTTTGAGTTTGTCTCTCTTGTCTCACTTTGTTGGGTCAACGAAGTAGAATCTGTAGAATCATCTATCAAGTCCATCCCATCCACGCCTTAGTCCCATTAAAAAACTAAGCATAAAAGTATATAACTACTTTCCCATGTAATCTCAGTGTGCCTCCACAGCCAGTCTTCCCATTGTCCACCATTCCCAGAGATTTGCGGAGAAAAACATTATCTACTAAACAAGGCTTCATAAGCTTTCTTCACATATTGTAGGCAAACCTGAGAGAGAACATGTCATGCTTTTCCGTCTTCCACTTAACAGTACCCCCCCGGGGGGGGGGCGCGGGAGAAGAACCGCCCTCTCAGTACCTTCCATAAGTTGGTCCCAATTATTTTTTGTGCCCATCCATTGCCGGGAACCTAAGCCAGGTCCTACATTTGGGATCACATCCCTATGTGCATTAAGCATATAGCTGTAGTCTGCATTAGTTTACTTAGGTGCATAATCATAACAAAATTGCATTTAGAGTATGCTTGCATCATTCTAGAGTAGCTGTACTGTATTTGCATATAAATAACTATGTCCCCTTTGCAATTACAATTCTAAAACTGATCCCTAAGAGAATGATTTACACTATATTGTATTTATAGTTGGATCTAGAACTAGTTGGTAGCTGATGCGACTAAGACTACTCTCATCAGCCATTTAGAAAAGCACATTCTTGTAAAGTACAATTATCTTGTTGATGGTATTAAAAAGTAAAAGCAATATCATTTGATGTAACGGAAGCAGTAGGGATGGAGGTGTATTCCATGAAGCTCTAATTAGGTTCAATCAAGATAGGCATAGTCGGCCTCATATTCTCTAATAAACCCTTGTTCTGAAGCAAAACCACTATTTCAGATATTGCCGGTCTTATTTCTGCAGATGCTTGAGTGCATAGCAAACCAATTTCTATAATTTTCTTCACTTCTTCTGCATCATAATCATTACTGTCTAAGGCATTGTCCACCAACTCTAAATGCATGCCTCTCTCATATAGTTTCCAAGCCTATCAAGTAGGATGAAAGTGAAACGAAATAAGCATTTATCATAAGATTATTTTCTCTCATAAAGTAAGCTTTTTTGAAAGAATTTTAGATGTGCTGTTAAAAAATCCAACATCTAAGTTTTTTTTTTCAAAATAAAGAAAAGCTTTTTCAAATAGGCATGTGAATTTTCTCACTTTTTGGAGGAGGAATTCGCCTTCAACATCACCATCAACTTTCAATTCATTGCTTTTTTGGCCGCTGATGATTTCTAAGACAACAATACCATAACTATAAATATCAGCCTTTTCGGATAGTTGTCCATGAATTGCATACTCTGGTGCAGTGTATCCTCTGTCAATCATATATTATTTATGATGTAGTTAATTAGAATAATAGCTCAAACTAAAACATGTAATTATTGTGATGCTACAAAATCCAAAATAGACATGGAATATAAAGTATTGTGTCATCATCATCTTCAACATAAGTATGAATTCCTTCTTGCATAATCATGTATTGTCCATGTCATAGGATTGTTTAATAGACTAATGTATAGATTTCATTAATACCTTTAACAATCCATTTACTGTAATAAAAATTAATAGAATTGAAAATTAACTGGAGCAAAGTAGTTATTTCAATCAA